GTTGCAACACATTACAGACTAAAAATACACATATATTTCTTCTTCTTCCTCCTATTCTTCTTCTTCTTCGCTTCCACGCTTGAGGTATTCAGCCAATCACAACACACTGGATAGCTGGCCAATCACAGCACACCTTGCTTTTTCAGACCGATGAGCTTTGTAAAAATCGACGCGTTTCAAAAAGGCGGGGCATAGAGGAGAAATAATAATGTACAGTATGTGGAAAATAATGTGTTTTTTGAACCTTAAACCGCATAAACACATTTCATTACACCAAATACACAAAATAATGTTCTTTTTAGCCTCATCATATGACCCCTTTAAACTAAGCCAAACAGCTAGTAATCATTGTGCAATAAAACAATTTGAAACAAACAATGAACAAATACATTACAGTCATATTTGTTTTTAAGTTGAAATAAAAAAATGTGTATAGATGTTAATTTGAGAGAGGCGGGGCATAGAGGACCTACAATAATGTACAGTATTAGAAAAATAATGTGTTTTTTGAACATTAAAGCATGTCAACATATTCTGTTACACCAAATACACAAAATAATGATCTTTAAAATAGCATCATATGACCCCTTTAAAACAACGGTGTTTCAGATGATACGTTTTGTCATTGAACTTGCATTATTCAAGGTAAAGTATACACCTATGAGTATTGTCTCGCAACTTATTGGAAATTTGAAACCATCTGTATATAAAAAAAAAAATCAACTTTTTTAAGTTAGTTTATTTTTTATTATTTTTCAACTTGGGTACAATCAGCACACAATATAGTAAACGACATGAATATGTCTTATTAAAGCAAAACCTGCTAATAGCATACAGTCCAGCCTGACACATTTTACAAACTAATTACCCAGAAAGATATTATTTTCTGGTGAAGCTTCAAAAATAACATCAAACTCTTTCCATGGAAAGAACATGAGTTCAATAGAACAATAGTTCCCTAATTTTATTATGATGATGTCTGAGATCTACCGTAAAAGATGATGCAAAATCATCACCTTTGAAAGCTATTTTAAAATCTGTTCCTGCCTCTGAATGAGAAGAACAGGTTAAAACATTCGACTAAAATACTATAATAAGGGACTAACACATTTCTTAAAATCATACAAAAACAAAAATGTCAGTTACATTTAATTTTTATTTTTGCTATTATACAGAACCCATACATTCAAAGGAAAAAACATACATATCCATCCATTAAAAAATAAAATGTAATGACACACTTCATGTTTGCTTTACCTGTATCTCATATTTTTTAATTGTTTTTTAAAAGCATTCGATCTGTAGATAACATTTGCTCACTGTGACGCAGAACAATGTTTTTCCATATGAATCACCAGACCACGGAAACGTTTGAAACTCTCTCCACACCGAGTACAGTAATACGGCTTCTCTCCACTATGAACTCGCTCGTGTATTCTCAAGTGTTCAGGCCGAATGAAACTCTTGTCACAGTATGAGCACTTGTGAGGTTTTTCTCCAGTATGAATTTTTAAGTGTCTTTTTAAATCACCAGCTGTAATAAAGCTCTTTCCACACTCACGACACACATGATCTCTCTTACCGGTGTGTATTTTCTGGTGCTGTTTACAATTGCTCAGCTGTGTAAAACTCTTTCCACAGTAAGAGCAGCAATAAGGCCTCTCATTTCTATGCAACTTCATGTGTCGACTGAGACCTGACAATGAATTTAAATCTTTACCACACTGATCACAGTTATACGACTTTTTTTTTTTTGCGTGAACGTGCAGATGATTTTTGAGACTACCTGTATTTGTGAAAGTCTTTTTTTTACACTTTACACGGAGGTTGTACCGTTTCTCTCCATTGTGTTTTTTCTGATGCCGTTTACAAGTGTCCAGTCGCGAATAACTCTTTCCACACTGAGCGCATGTGTACGATTTCTCTCCAGTGTGGACTATCATGTGCTTTTTAAGGTATTCTTTGCGCTTGAAACTCTTTTCGCACTGTGAGCAGGTGTGCAGCGGTTTGGATTGTGTTTTTTGAGTGTTGAAGTCACGTTTCTCCTCCTCTTCGTTCGGTTCTTGTCTTTGCTCTTTCATCTCCATCCAGTCTAAAATAAACAAGTTAGAATCAGTTCAAGTGAACACTGCATTTACCATCCATACAGGCCTACTACTTAATATTTCATAGCTACCAAAACAGTCAATAATGAGGAATCATGAATGAACACCAACCTGTTTGTTCCTCAGTATCTTCATGTTTTATTCTGGATGGTTCTGGATCACTCATGTCTTCAATCTCCTCTTTAACAAACTCCATCTTTAACAGTCACAGATTTCAGCTGCTGCACCTGGAGTTTGTTCTTCTCTTGTAGGATGATGTGAATATTCACCAGTATTTATAGGTGAATTGTTGTGGGAGGGGCTTCACTGATCATTGTCTGATACTGAGACCCACAAAAAAAGGGGACTCAATTTATAACATATTTGTATAAGTAAAGCGGTACATTATTAGTATATAAACAGCTCTATAAGAAGCAATCTCATCTTTATGTAACCCTGGGACTCTAAATAACGATAAAGGGTTAAATTCTTAAATTATAACTTGCTTGGCACGTCCTTTCTTAACAATGTTAGCATCAAACAAAACAAAACAAAACAAAGAAGAATTCACGTATATTCAATGCTAATACAAAAGCAGAGCGTATATTTATTAATAGTTAAATACCTCTTCTATCAAGGTGGTTCATGTCAAACTCTGTAAATCGGGAACTTCTCTCACATGTTGCAACACATTACAGACTAAAAATACACATATATTTCTTTTTCCTCCTCCTCTTCTTCTTCTTCTTCTTCTTCGTTTTTAATGGCGGCTGGCAACCAACGTAAATCGGTGCATTACCGCCACCTTCTGCTCCGGAGTGTGGAACAGAGTTTTATATTCTATTCAGTCCAGTCTCTCTAATAAAATCAAAGAAGACTTCGATGTTTATTTAACTTGACCATTTTATTAAAACCTTAAAATTTAATTCTTGAACTCCATTTTTTTTTCTTTATTTCTTCTATCATTTTCCCCTTTCTTGTTCGTATAGGCCTACTACATTCAAGAAATACATGAGGTATTTTTTCTTCAACATTACATTGTTCACATAACCCATTTTGGATGTTTCCCTATTATTTTAAGTGTGCTGTTTAAATTTGAATGCCCTAACATTATTCTATTATAGACAAACTAAACAATTTTCATATTTTATATATAGGCCTATATGTTTTATATTCATACAAACAGAAAAACAGCGATAACTAAATAAAAAATACAAATTTAAATAGCATCACAAACATTTGTTGAATTCATTTAAATGAACCCTAAACTTTACAATACGATTCGCAAATGCATGTGCAATTTCAGCTACCACGAGCATAATTGACCTTTATTGAAAGTGAAAGTGAAAAACGTGACGACTGATGACGTATTGATGGCATAGCCTAATTTTTAGCACATTTTTTTAGTAGGCTAAATATTGACTTTCAATGGGATCAAGCTCAATTCAGTTTATCTGGGATCAAACTCAAAAAGTCCATTTTAAAAGTTAAAAACTCAAATTGAGGAAATTGTTTCATATATTGGCATATACAGACCATGACAGGAAAGAGAGGTTGTCACAGCGCTTCGCAAAGTTAAATCACACAAGGCATCTGGCCCGGATGGCTTGAAGGGGAAAGTCTTGAAAGAATGTGCAGAACAACTAGGATATGTGTGTACAAGGATGTTTCAAATCTTTCTGGACAATAGCTTTGTACCATTGGCCTGGAAGAATTCTATTGTTATCCCGGTACCAAAAATACCTCATGCAAAATTGTTAAATGACTTTCGTCTAATTGCGCTCACATCAGTTTTCTGCAAATGTATGGAACGCATAGTGTGTAAGGAATTGTCATCCCAAATTGAGAGGTTCCCCTGCAGTTTGCCTATCGGGCCAATCGGAGCACTGTGGATGCCTCTCTTACTCTTTTGAATAAAGTTCAACATCATTTAGATAAGTCAAATATGTGTGTTAGAATATGTGTTTTCATGGATTTTTCGTCTGCTTTTAATACTGTCCAACCTAACCTTCTTTTAAAGCATCTTCACAATTTAGGTGTTAGTAGTTGGTTGATTTCATGGATTAAAGAATTTTTAAAAAACATAATGTCATGTCTGACTGCTTGGTTTTAAATACTGGGGTACCCCAGGGATGTGTATTATCTCCAATATTATTCTCTGTATACGTCAATGAACTGCAGTGTGATGATAATAATCTCTCCATCATAAAGTATGCTGACGATATGGCACTGGTTTCCTGTCAGAAAGAAATGAATAGCTCTTCATTATCAATAGCATTATTGGTTGGCTTGATAGTAGCTTTTTACATCTTAATATTGGAAGGACAAAAGAGCTATGCTTGAGGAGTCAAATAAGAATAGTAGATACAAGCCCATATAAACCAGTCATTATAAAAAGAAAAATTGCAGAGCAGGTCTCGAATTTTAAATATTTAGGAACAATTATTGACGATAAACTCAACTTTGAAAGTAATGTAGAGTCTGTCTATAAGAAGGCAAGCCAGCGCCTTGGTCTTCTTAGAAAATTGAGGAACTTTAATGTTAGTACACAGGCTCTAACTATGGTATACAGGTCAATGATTGAGAGCATTCTTACATATAATATTGTCTCATGGTACGGAGACAGGATTATCATCTATGATATTTCTGTTTTTATACTGAAATGAAAAATGTGTGTGTAGAAGTTAAATATAATTAAACAAAAGAATGTAGTGATTCAGATGATACATGTTTTGTCACTTCTGTCATTCAAATCAAATTATACACCAGTGATTGTCTTGCAAAATATTGCAGCAGTTAAAATCATCTGTAAATAATGAAAACTTTTTTCTTTTTTTTTTCAGTTTAATATTTTCCAACTCATGTACAACCAGAACACAATATAGGAAATTAGTAAATGACAAGAATGTAGCTTATTCAAGCAAGAACTAATCAACACACAGTAAAGCATGACACATTTAGCAAACTGATTACCCAGTAGGAAAGATAAAAATGATTTACACTGTAAGAATTATTATCTTGGTGAAGCTTCAAGCATCATTCTATAGTTCCTTAATCAGACTGTGAAATCAAATTCACAAAATGAAACTAGATGGTGTTGTGCTTTTGGGTGAATATATTTTGTTTAACAGTTTAATCCTGAAAATGTTGCTCACTCTGATGACTTACATTTTATCAAGTATGATCAGCTCTAGTAAAGTTTTATCAAGATTATCAGCTCTAGTAAAGCTCTTCCCACACTCACAACACACATGATCTTTCTCACCGGTGTGTATTTTCTGATGCACTTTACAATGATTTAGCCGAGCAAAACTCTTTCCACAATAAAAACATGCATAAGGCCTTTCATTTGTATGAAAATGCATGTGTTCTTTTAGAAATGTTGATGATTTAAAATCTGTACCACACTGATCACAGGTAATCGGCTTTTCTCCAGTGTGAACTCGTTCATGTATTTTCATGGTTCCTGTCTGAGTGAAACTCTTGTCACAATATGAGCACTTGTGAGGTTTTTCTCCAGTGCGAATCATTTTGTGCAGTTTCAAACTGGTAACTTTAGTGAAGCTCTTCCCACAATCCAAACACACGTGATCTTTCACTTCATTATGAGTTCTCTGATGCTGTTTATAAGTGTCCAGTTGTGAAAAACTCTTTCCACACTGAGGGCATGTGTATGGTTTCTCTCCAGTGTGGATTCTCTTGTGTTCCTTAAGGTTTCCTTTGTGTGAGACACTCTTTTCGCACTGTGAGCAGGTGTGCAGCTTTTTGGCTTTTGTTCTTTGAGTTCTGAAGTCACAGTGTTTCTCCTCCTCTTCAGCACTTGTGAGGTTTTTCTCCAGTGCGAATCATTTTGTGCAGTTTCAAACTGGTAACTTTAGTGAAGCTCTTCCCACAATCCAAACACACGTGATCTTTCACTTCATTATGAGTTCTCTGATGCTGTTTATAAGTGTCCAGTTGTGAAAAACTCTTTCCACACGGAGGGCATGTGTATGGTTTCTCTCCAGTGTGGATTCTCTTGTGTTCCTTAAGGTTTCCTTTGTGTGAAACACTCTTTTCGCACTGTGAGCAGGTGTGCAGCTTTTTGGCTTTTGTTCTTTGAGTTTTGAAGTCACAGTGTTTCTCCTCCTCTTCATTCAGTTCTTGTCTTTGCTCTTTCATGTCCATCCAGTCTAAAATAATAAGTTAGAATCAGTTGATTCCAGATAATTTAACAGCAGAAAACAATAGAGATTAGATATTTGTATGTCAGATCTTTGATGTGCCAATGGTTAATTATCTTGTTAGTTCAATTGAATGTTGATGACAACAGGCTTATGATCATTTAAAAGCAATTCTGTATAATTTATCATCCATACCCTGTTGAAAAAACAGCATGCTGTTTTTTTTCAACAGGATATATTCTGATCAAAATTTCACATCTAACAAAAACAGTCAATAATGAAAAATAAAGAACCAACCTGTTTGTTCCTCAGTATCTTCATGTTTTATTCTGGATGGTTCTGAATAACTCATGTCTTCAATCTCCTCTTTAATAAACTCCATCTTTAACGATCACAGATTTCAGCTGCTGCACCTGGAGTTTGTTCTTCTCTTGTAGGATGATGTGAATATTCTCCAGTATTTATAGGTGAATTGTTGTGGGAGGGGCTTCACTGATCATTGTCTGATACTGAGACCCACAGGACCAGATCTGGAGAAATCAAAAATAGAGGACTTAATTTGCACTAAACTACTTCAGTTATGCTGAAATTAATTAAACATATTTCCTGTTCGAAATACAGAGCATTTTGGTAATGTGGTATATTATCAGCACATGAAAAAGATCAATAAGAAGCAATTCATCGTTATAAAACACTAGATTTTAAGCAGTGAGTTAACTGTTGTATGGAAACAGACCCTTGAGTAGTTTTACTTTAACATCAGATTTAAATATTTAAAAAAAAACATTTAAGCATTTATAGAAATCAATCATTACATGTACATGTACGTTGGAGTTTTCCACACATCTGAATTATTATTAATTTGTTTATTATTTTGTTCAAATAAATAAATAAAGAGAAACTATATTATAATATTACTACTATTATTAATAAAATCTTTGTAGTTCTATTTAATGGGTCACACGATGTGCAGTGTGAGCACCAAACCAAATCTCCAAGTGCTCTCATGAGAACCAGACTGAAAAATTTGCACCCATAATGTATTTCTATTTTATTTTTATAAGGGGGTAGGAGGAGTACCGGCACTTTTTTGCCCACTTCAAGCACTGCACATAAACAACAAGTGATTAAAACAGGATAGTCAAATGATTGGGTTACAGAGATAATGTGGCATTATGCAATGGAATGATGTTTGGTTATAAGTCGGATGATCTTATGCATTTTACACATGTTATGGCAGCTATTCTGTAAGCGGTTCTGAGAGAGAGAATTCTGTTCTGTGAGGAAGGTCAAAAGGTTTTGCTCTCTGTCGGATGTGTCGTCTCTTCCACCATTAATCTTGAGTTATCCGCCTAAATGTAACAATCTTCTTCTGTGAAGGAGATAGCTGGTATGTCGCTCCAGACTTGTTGGCGGCAGGAAATCTGACTCACGGTCATCCATGTTGCCTTTGGGGCCCCCTGGAATTCTTCTGCTTTTGCTCAATTCTGCTCACATTATAGCTGTCTGATTCGCTCTAACATCCTACACTCTATAGTTCCTTAATCAGACTAAGAACAAGTCAAAATTCACTAAATTAAACTAGATGTTTTTGTGCTTTTGAGAGAAACTCAATATTTTGTTTATCTCACACTATTTACTCGGCTGTTCTAACATGAAAATGTTGCTCACTGTGACAAATTAGGACATATTTTCATGTGACTTTCAAGGCCCTTCTCTCCAGTATGAACGTGCTCATGTGCTTTCAGGTCTCCAGACTGAGTGAAACTCTTGTCACAATATGAGCACTTGTAAGGTTTCTCTCCAGTATGGATTCTTTGGTGCTGTTGCAGATTATCAGCTCTAGTAAAGCTCTTCCCACACTCACAACACACATGATCTTTCTCACTGGTGTGTTTTTTCTGGTGCCGTTTACAATGATCCAGTCGAGAAAAACACTTTTCACAAAACGAACATGCATATGGTCTCACATTTGTGTGAATTCCAGTTCTGAAAAATTATTTCCACAAAAAGATCACACGAGGCGTTTTACTTGTATGAATGTTTTTTTTTTTTTTTAGATTTGATGGCAAAAATAAAGGATTTACCACACTGATCACAGTTAAATGGCTTTTCTCCAGAGTGAATGTGCAGATGATAAAAGCCTCTTTGTCTCATCCAAATAGTTCACTGTTTTCAGCTCATTCATTATGATGATGAGATCTTTTGTAAATTGGCACATTAAGCACATTTCATTGGTGTCAACGTGCTGAGACGAACTGCAAGACTATGATATTTCTGTTTTCATACTGAAATGAAAAATGTGTTAATTGTTAAGTTGTTAATCTAATTGTTACCTGACTCCATCTTATTATGACCTCGAATTTAGGTTACCATGCCAGTTATTATTGATCATTCGGATAATTTATCTAGACATCTGATTATTATCTATAAGCACACTTTGAGTCAACAATCTCAGAGTGAGTCAGAACAAAATCAAATGTAACAATTTATTATCAATCAGGTAAAAATGCATTATGCCAATTACATAGCCAATTCAGAGATATCAATTCAAGTTTCAAAATTCAAAGATATCAATTCAAAGTTCAATGACAAAACAAGACATCAAATTCTCAAATATAAAACTAAGAGCAAAGGATGCATATCTGACTTCAGAAAGATGGAATATAGATTATGTATGCAACATTTTCTTAAAGTAGGCCTACTCAGACCAAGGCAAACATCCTTCAAATGGAGACAGAAACTAACAATTGGAATTTGCATTGATTAAGGCCTATAGATGTTGAGAGTTTTACACCTTTTGGGGGCAGATGGTAATTTGCATGAAAGACACTGGGAAAGGGCACTGTAACGATTCAATCCACTGAAGGCGAGCGTAGTGAAGAACCCAAGTGCAGTTTATTTACAGGTGATCCAAACATCCAAACATAATCCAAACAGACGAAGACTAGATACACAGACTTGACTTGACGAGGCATGAACAGACTTGACTTGACTTGACGAGGCATGAACAGACTTGACATGAACAGACTAGACTCACCAACAGCGGGATAAATACATTCAATACACGACGACAGACAATGGCAACATGATGGCTACTTATAGGAAACAAGAGGGTCACATGACAAGAACAAACCAATGGGAAACAAGACACATGACTAAAACAACCAATCAGAACATGACACATACACAAGGCTGAGATACATGAAGGCAAGGGAAGTATGACACAAACAGCATAAAACAATTACAAAATAAAAGACATGGAAACATGAACAAGACAAAACCCAAACACCACATTACAGGCACACCCAAAAGTAAATAAAACACCTCTAAACTCTTAGGATCCATTATCTTTTAGTCTACTTCTTGTAAGATTGAAACCATTGTATTAGTCACACTGAGACATTTTAAATCATACCAAACATGACTGTTCATTCACTTGCATTGGCACAGAACATTTTGTATTTATATAATCATTCTGATTCTGAGTGAAGGGAAGAATGGGTGGAGGGATTGAAGGAACAAATGTGAAGGAAAGACAGGAGGGAAGGAAGCTTTCTGCATCTCCACTCTGTAGGGTGTGAAAACATATGCCTGTGTGTGTTTATATTGTCTGTATCTCAAGAGATCAAAGTAACTACGGTTCTTTTGCAGAAGATTTTTTGTATTAAACAAAATATGAATTAATCAAATCAATGTGAATATAACCATTTCTGTATGAAGCTATTCTGCTATTATATTCATGTATTTGCCTGTGTGGATAGAGGCCTGGAGAGAATGAAATGTGCAGTCATTACAACAATACAGGATCTGGTGAAGCTGGACATGTTTTGACATTAGACACAATATACGAGGAGGCCTCCTCATTCCACTTCACATAAATTGAGGCCTCCGGTCTACTTTTTAAAAACAGATCAGTTGAGTTGAGAGATCAGTTGAAAAACAGACTGGAGTCACAGCCACAAAAGGTAAAAAAAGATAAACAATACCGACAATGCATAAAATATATGGAACTGTATGGAAGCTTCAAGAATCACTCTATTGTACACTTTATAGTTAAATGCACAAAATTAAACTAGATGGCGTTGTGCTATTAGGTGAAACTATATTTTGTTTATCTCACACAAATTACTTGACTGTTTTAACACAAAAATGTTGCTCACTGTGACGACGTGTGACATGTTTTCAAGTGCTTTTTAAGGCTTTTTAAATGTCTAAAGCTCTTCTCACAGGGAGGGCAGTAGTACGGCTTCTCTCCAGTATGAATCTGCTCATGTGCCTTCAGGGATCCTAACTGATTGAAACTCTTGTCACAATATGAGCACTTGTAAGGTTTCTCTCCAGTATGAAGTATTTGGTGCTGTTTCAGATTATCAGCTCTAGTAAATCTCTTCCCACACTCACGACACACATGATCTTTCTCACTGGTGTGTGTTTTCTGGTGCCGTTTACAATGATCCAGCCGAGCAAAACACTTTCCACAAAATGAACATGCGTACGGTCTCACATTTGTATGAATTTTCATGTGTTCTTCTAGTTTTGATGATAATTTAAAATCTGCACCACACTGATCACAGGTAAATGGCTTTACTCCAGAGTGAACGAGCAGGTGACAGTCCAGACCATTTTTACATCTGAAACTCTTTTCACACTGAGTACAGTGATACGGTTTCTCTCCAGTGTGAACTCGCTCATGTATTTTCATGGTTCCTGCCTGAGTGAAACTCTTGTCACAATATGAGCACTTGTGAGGTTTTTCTCCAGTGTGAATTCTTTGGTGGCGTTGCAGAGTGTCAGATCTAGTAAAGCTCTTTGGACAGTCACAACACACATGATCTTTCTCACCGGTGTGTATTTTTTGGTGCCGTTTACAATGATCCAGTTGAGCAAAACTCTCTCCACAAGAAAAACATGCAAAAGGCCTTTCATTTGTGTGAATTTTCATGTGGTTTTTTAGATGTACTGATGATTTAAAATCTGTACCACACTGATCACAGGTAAATGGCCTTTCTCCAGAGTGAATGAGCAGATGAACATTGAGATCACTTCTATATCTGAAACTCTCTCCACACTGAATACAGTAATACGGCTTCTCTCCAGTGTGAACTCGCTCATGTATTTTCAGGTGTTCAGACCGAGTGAAACTCTTGTCACAATATGAGCACTTGTACGGTTTTTCTCCAGTGTGAATTCTTTTGTGCAGTTTCAGACAGGCAGCTGTAGTAAAGCTCTTCCCACACTCACGACACACATGATCTCTCACATCATTATGTGTTTTCTGGTGCTGTTTACAATTTTCCATCAATGAACAATCAGCTGAATGTGAGCAGCGTTTTCTTTCTTAATCTTTGAGTTCTGAAGTCACTGTGTTCCTCCTCCCCTTCAGTCAGCTCTTGTCTTTGCTCTTTCGCTTTCATTGGGTCTAAAATAAACAGAGTAAGTAGTTATAATTAGTTCGATAAATGTGAAAATTCAACTGCACCCTGATTAGCAGAAAATAGCAGAGATCAGGTCTGGGAGTATCAATAATCATATTTTTACATTTTTTTTAACATACAAATGTTAGTTCTTCTGTGAGAAATCACTCTTGAAGTCTTAAGGTTTTGATGCCAGAAGACAGATTTTGATAATGAAGCCCAGAGACTTTGCAGAGAATCTCTAGAATCTGTCTTTTCTTTCTCTCTTTTATATAGGTTTCCATAAACAATACATATCATTCAGGCCACTATTACTTATTAACTTTTAACCCCAGTCTATATCTCCTCATGACAGCATAATAGTAACACAAAGAGGTCTCAGTTCATATCACATGTCAGCTGGTCATCACATGTTTTCTCTTATAGGCCTAATGGCAGCTCATTGAGCACACACAGTAAAATACATGACTATAATAAAGAATAACTCATATATATAGTGACATTCACATTGACTATGCTTGATTAATTCATATTTTGATTCATAAAAATCTTCTACATGTGTTAGTAGTTGTATGGAAAGGCACCCCAGGGTAGTTTAACTTTAGCATCAGAGTTAAATATAAAATAATCCTCATTTAAGCACTGATAGAAATCAATATTTACCTGTGCCCTCTATGTTGGAGGAGTTTTCCACCGAGTCTGAACAGTGTGAAAGAGCCAGGAAAGAAACAGCAGCGTGAGCGACGCTCATAGGCTCCGCCCCCTTCTGGTATATAGACCGCCTATTTTACACGTGTTATGGCAGCTATTCTGTAAGCGGTTCTGAGAGAGAGAATCCTGTTCTGTGAGGAAGGTCAAAAGGTTTTGCTCTCTGTCGGATGTGTCGTCTCTTCCACCATTAATCTTGAGTTATCCGCCTAAATGTAACAATCTTCTTCTGTGAAGGAGATAGCTGGTATGTCGCTCCAGACTTGTTGGCGGCAGGAAATCTGACTCACGGTCATCCATGTTGCCTTTGGGGCCCCCTGGAATTCTTCTGCTTTTGCTCAATTCTGCTCACATTATAGCTGTCTGATTCGCTCTAACATCCTACACTCTATAGTTCCTTAATCAGACTAAGAACAAGTCAAAATTCACTAAATTAAACTAGATGTTTTTGTGCTTTTGAGAGAAACTCAATATTTTGTTTATCTCACACTATTTACTCGGCTGTTCTAACATGAAAATGTTGCTCACTGTGACAAATTAGGACATATTTTCATGTGACTTTCAAGGCCTTTTAAAAATCTAAAACTCTTCTCACACTGAGTACAGTGATACAGCTTCTCTCCAGTATGAATCTGCTCATGTGATTTCAGGTTTCCAGACTGAATGAAACTCTTGTCACAATATGAGCACTTGTAAGGTTTCTCTCCAGTATGGATTCTTTGGTGCTGTTGCAGATTACAGGCATGTTGTTGGTTTAGATGCAGTGATAAGTTTATTTAGCTCTTCCTTAAAATACAGAATATTTTGACAAGGTTGTATATTATTTGCATATAATACAGCTGTATAGGATGGTAGCTCATCAAATTGTAGGGTCCTAAATAAGGATGAAACAAGTAAATTCTTCAATTAACACTTAAACTAAACTTAAATTAAAACCGAAAACATAAAAGCATTTCATATACAAGGTAATCTCCAGAAAGGCATAAAGTTAATGACTAAATTACTTAATTAAATAAAATTCATGTCTATTTGTAGGCCTATGTTGCTTTTCCTACAATTATTGCAAAGCAGCTTCACAGAAAATTTAAGTTTCTACATTATATTTAGGAGTAGCTTATCAGTGGTGACTATGTCAAGGTGATGTCCATATGGCAGACATGTACAATCAATTTTTATATTAGAAATGAACCACAAAATAAATCCTACTGTTCATTATCACTCAGCTCTCTCTTAACACATTATTCTCCCACAACATAAAAACCTGTGCACAGAATGTGTAAATTAGCGCTTAAATACCTCACCTCTGGAGCCGGTTCATGTGAATCTCTGTAAATCGGGAAAACTCACATCACATATCACATGTCAGCACATGGTCATCACATGTTTTCTCTTATAATAGCAGCTCATCATATTAGAGCACACACAGTTATAATATAGAAAAACTCATATATATATATATATGTACATACACTACGGGTCAAAAGTTTGGGATCAGAACGATTTTTAATGTTTTTTTACAGGAGTTTCTTATGCACATCAAGGCTCCATTTATTTGATCAAAAATACAGGGAAAAAAATTTAATATTGTGAAATATTATTATGATGTAAAATAAAATTTTTCTATTTTAATATACATTAAAAATTAATTTATATTTTCTAACAATATACACTACAGTTCAAAAGTTTGGGGTAAGTAAATTTTTATTCTTTCTTTTTTTTATAAAAAAATATTTGGCAGCACAACTGTTGCCAACATTGATAATTCTAATAATAAATCAGCATATTAGAATGATTTCTGAAGGATCATGTGACACTTTATACTGGAGTAATGGCTGATGGAAATTCAGCTTTGCATCACAGAAATAAATTATATTTTAAAGGATATTAAAATAGAAACCATTATTTTGTATTGTAATATGTAATAACTAATAATTGTAAGATTACTGTTTTTTTTCTGTATTTTTGATCAAATAAATACAGCCTTGATGAGCATAAGAGACTTCTTTAAAAAAAACAATGATCCCAAACTTTTGAACGGTAGTATATATGAGAGATGCTAACATGAGCAACATGTGATTTCCGTCCCAGATGGGTGCTGTGTGCTAATCACATGGAGCCGGTAAAATTACGTTTTGAATATGGATAATTTTCTTACAAAAACGCATCGATTCGCTACAGGAGGCCTTTGTTCACCCCCCGGAGCCATATGAGACACTTTTTTTGTGGAAGGGTGCTTTTTATTTCACGTCATTTGAACCGAAAGAATGCAACACCCGCAGAGTACAACGATAGAGCTTGAAGGGTGAGTAATTTATGGGCTAATTTTCATTTTTGGGTGAACTAACCCTTTAAGAGTACAATAGTTAGGAAAATATGAGATACGTACTAAATGCTTTTTGAGACATCACATTGCTATTCAAATGTATGCAATTCTGCCTATAAAGTAAACATAGCCTATATTTTAGAATGTATATTTGAATGGAGATAGGCCTTATTTTTTTTGCAGTGTAAATAACTGCCTGACTCACCATGTCAATAACAAAACATAAGTTCATTTGAAAATAAAACGTGCATATCTTACAGTTTCCTTCAAATTCTATATTTTAAATATGGTGTTTGTCACAATATTGGGAAGAGCACGAAATGGGTTATCATTAGGCTACTGTCTGTGCGCGACACCTGTGAACAGAGGTTCTAGAGTACTGTCATCAAACCTGTTCAAACCAGCCAATGGACTGTTTGATCAACGAGCGCATCCTTATGTCTGTC